GAACTCGCCTCGACCTTTAGTAGGGGGGCATGTACTCATTGCTCACACTTAAGCGTGTCCTAGAGGTTTTTAGTAGCATTTTTGGATTGGTGGTTAATCCTAGCAAATGCTCAGTTTTTCTAGCACGGGTGGATGGCTAAGTGTGATATCCTGAATGCTTTAGGTCATACTGAGTGTCTTCACCATTCATTTATTTGGGTGTTCTTTTGGGGACAAATTTTTAAAAACGACCTTCTTTCAAATTTAATAGGTAAAACCGACCGCCTAACAAAAAAATTGGCAAAATCGATCATTTTTTGCACGGGACTACCAGTCCCGTGCAAAAAATGGTCAATTTTCCAATAAATCACCGACGCTCTCCCTCAGCCCCTTCTCCTCATCTCTCTCCATCCTCCTCCCCCATCACACCGCGCGAGCTCACCAAACCCACGCCCAAGCCTTCCACCGACCGCTCCTCCGCCACTCACAGCCCCGACCACCACCATCGTCAGCCCCTTGGAACGGCGCCCGCGCCTCGTTCAATCGCCGCCCAGCACTCCCGCTCCATCTTAGCCGTGGTCCCCCCTCTATTCCTCCTCCTCACCCCTTGCTGCCGCCTCCATCCTCCCCCTCACGTCGGCGCCCATCGCCGTCGTGCGGCCGGCCACCATCGCGCTGCCACATGCCCGAAGTCTCGTCCATCTCGCTCCTCGCCGGTTGCCTTCAAACTCCTCCGCACCGACGCTCCACCACTCACAGCCAGCTCCCGCCGCCCAAACGGCCCATTCACAGCCATCCACTAACGACACCGACAGCAGCTCTCCCCTTGGCATCGCCCCTCATCGCCTCGCCGTTCACTGCCACCGTCTACCCCTACAAGCCTCCTCCCCCCCGCCGCACCATCTCCAAAGCTTCGATCCGCCCTCAAAGCCCACCTCAACTTCAACCTCCATTAGATCCGCCGCTCGCCCTGATCGCGATCGCCGCCGAGCTGCCGAGCTGGCGGAGGAGGCGGTGGGTGGAGGCTGGGCGTGGGTTTGGTGAGCTCGGCGGGTGATGGGGAGGAGGATGGAGAGAGATGAGGAGAAGGGGCTGAGTCGGTGATTTATTGGAAAATCGACCATTTTTTTGTTAGGTGGTCGGTTTTGCCTATTAAATTTGAAAGAAGGTCGTTTTTAAAAATTTGTCCTTCTTTTGGTGTGTGAAAGACTTTTGTTTCAGAATTGTTCTCCATTATTCTTTTGGTGTGTAAAGGACTTCTCTTTCAGAATTGTTCTCCATTATTATCTAAATTAGCTTCCTCAGTTTCAAGCTTGACAGAGTGAGAAGATGTCTTATTGGGGGAGACTTCAATTGTTGAGGAGTGTTACTTTTGACACACTTGTTTTCTGGACTTCTAATTTATACACTTCCAAAGAAAGTGTTGCACAGGATTGATTGATGATATGAGTAGAATGTTCCTTTGGGTAGGTTCTCATGAGGACAAAAAGTGTCGTTGTTTGCTTGGGAGAAATTGTGTCAGAGTATCAAATGTGGAGTTAATTGGAGTTTTGCTGCTGGGTTAAAGCTGCTATGGTATTCATGTAAAGAAAGAATTACTATGGATCCATGGTAATTATTTAAGAGGAACTACCATTTGGGAAGCTTTTTCGAGAGTGAATGGCTATTGGATGTGGAAGCAGGTGCTTAAAATGAGAGATAAAACAATTACAATGTGGGGTTTTACAGAGAATGTTATTGCTCAGCTAATTTCTTGGTCTTACCAAGGAAAATTCAAGATGGAAGCAGCTATGTACATTAAGTTTGCAGAGTTGATAATGTGGTTATATGGATTAATCATATGTTTCGATATAATGTGATAATTTGAGCCAAAGCTATGTACATATGGATGCAATTATGTGTTCTTTAAGCCGTGTGTACCTTAAGTTTACGAGTTGGTAATTTGGTTGTATGAACCAATCATGTGTTTCAGTATAATATGGGTACAAAAATTTCCAGAATAATGAGTTACAAAACATGAATAAGTGGGTGCAAAACTGGGCTAAAGAGGTACAAAACTTGAATAAGTGGGTACAAAACTTTTTGTTCAGAACAATGAGTTACAAAACTTGCATAAGTTGGTTCAAAATTAAGCTAAATAGGTACAAAATTTGAATAAGTGGGTACAAAAATTTTTGTCCAGAATAATGAGTTACAAAACTTGCATAAGTGGGTACAAATTTTTTTTCTAGAATAATAAGTTACAAAAGTTGAATAAGTGAGTACAAAATTGAGCTAAGGAGTTACAAAACTTGAATAAGTGGGCACAAAACTAGGCTAAAGAGTTATAAAACTTGAATAAGAGGTTACAAAATTTTTTCCAGAACAATGAGTTACAAAACTTAAATAAGTAGGTATAAAACTAGGTTAAAGAGTTGCAAAACTTGAATAAGGGGGTACAAAATTAAGCTAAAGAGGTGCAAAATTTGAATAAGCGGGTACAAAACTTTTTGTCCAAAACAATGAGTTACAAAACTTGCATAAGTGGGTACAAAACTGAGCTAAAGAGGTAAAAAACTTGAATAAGTGGGTATAAAAATTTTTGTCCAGAACAATGAGTTACAAAACTTGCATAAGTGGGTACAAAATTAAGCTAAGGAGGTACAAAACTTGAATAAGTGGGTACAAAACTTTTTGTCCAAAACAATGAGTTACAAAACTTGCATAAGTGGGTATAAAATTGAGCTAAGGAGGTACAAAACTTGAATAAGTGGGTACAAAACGTTTTGTCCAGAACAATGAGTTATAAAACTTGCATAAGTGGGTACAAATTTGAGCTAAGGAGTCACAAAACTTGAATAAGTTGGTACAAATTTTTTTCAGAACAATAAGTTACAAAACTTAAATAAGTCGGTACAAAAATTGAATAAGTAGGTACAAAATTAAATAAGTGGGTACAATATTAAGCTAAAGAGGCACAAAACTTGAAAAGTGGGTACAAAAATTGAATAAATATGTACAAAATTAAATAAATGGGTCTAATAAATGAGCAAACAGACCAAACCCCAAACCATCAGATACCAATATATTGAAGTATACCATAAGCCACAATCATTCACCATAAAAGCAAACAACATAACAAAAACAATATATCATCTTACCGATGCAAACACCAAAAGATGCAAAAACTTCACAGGAATCATTTGTCAACATGAAACTTCTCAGGAATCATTTGTCAACATACAAAAACAATTCCTTCTACATATGACAAAAAGCTCAGAGAATAAAAAAGGCCCAAATAACATTTACAACGAACATCTTGTTATTTCCACTTATCCACATAATATCATCCACATATTCGCATACACAACAACAACCAAGAAAAAAAAATTAAAATAAAATTTACAAAAATGATGAATCGCGTGCATACAAGAGAGCTGCACAAACTTTGCTCTGTACTTTGCACAATCTCCTTCTGAGATTGTTATTGATCGCTTTTCGACAATGTTGTTAATGAATTCAAACATTCAAGTATAAAGATCACGCAATCTAAGGTTCTGCATTTAGCAAAAAAATTACGATATTGAAAATGATTTTGTGAAAAAATGAACTATTAAATTATAATATATATCCTTTCAATTTGTTCGAAGCCATGACTTGGGGGCTACGGCTATGGCAAAGTGGGAACTCGCAGGTGAGGCCGGGAGCGGCAATGGCGAGTTGGGAACTCCCACGCGACGTGAAAGGATCTCCAGCGGCGGTGAACGCAGGCGGAGGAGAGGAGGCGGGCGGAGGAGACGCGGGTCTAGTGAGTTGCGGTCGGCGACGACGCAGGTAGTTTGGGAGTCGCATTGCTCGGTCTGATCTGAGCGTCGACAGGCGGACTGAAGAGCGGGCGAAGAAGGGGGGAGACGAGGGCGTGGACGTGAAGGGCAGGCGCCGCGGGAGCTGAGGTCGGTGAGCTTCGGCGGTCCGTCGTGCTCGGGCGGATTCTAAGCCAGCGGGGCGAAAGAGGAGGGGACCGGCGCGAGCGGTGAGCATGGACGCGGTCGGCGATTCAAGCAGTCGGCGTGCTGGATGATCTAAGCGTGGGCGGCTGACGCGAAGGAAGGCAGGAGGTGGAGGAGAGGAGGAGGTAGAGGAGATGAAGATTGCGGGTCGCAAAGATGTTAGGTGGGAATTTGTTTTTTGGTTTGGATTGTGTTTTGAAAGGTGGACGACTCAGATTCATTGGAGGTTTGGTTTGAACGACACGGCTTAGATCGCGCATGGGGGGCGGTAGGAGGATTTGCGTTTAAGGCGGAGTACGCGTTTAGTGTTCAGTACGCCCGGTCGTCCTGTATTTGTGTGGGTCCTTAGATAGACCTAAATGAGTCACCTTAGATTCATATTACCGCCCCGCCCTTCTCCTCTCTCTCTCTCTCCAGTCTCATCTCTCTCTCTCTATATATATATATATAAATATATATATAATATATAATATATATATATTATATATATATAATATATATATATATATAGTTATTGTCTCTAAAAAACACTAGTTTGCAAAGTAACTTAATATATAAAGGCAACTTGTGACAAACTTAAGTGGATAGCAAAAAGTATCCACCAAACCTTTTTAGGCCAACTAAGTAAGAACATCAACTTAAGTTGATAGAAGTCTTACTCATATATATATTATATATATATATATATATATAATATATACATATATATATATATTATATATACATAATAATATATATATATTATACAATATATAATATATATATACATAATATATATATAATATATACATATTTAATATATATATATATACATAATATATAATATATATATATACATATATATAATATATATATACATATATATATATATAATATACATATATAATATATATATATACCATATAATATATATATATTATACGCTTTCCCTGAATCCGCCAGAGATCCCAATTACCGCCAGCGTACAAATCCAACAGCAATTTATTTAACAAGGTTCAACATTATCTAAGGGCTGTTGATGCAATCAAATCATAAAGATACACATACTAATATTACACGTTACACTTCAAGGATTAGTTGTATGACCAAGATAAATAAACCACTGAATCTTTTACAAATTAATTTATAGGATATATATGCTTTCCCTGAATCCGCAGAGGATCCAAATTACCGCCAGCGTACAAATCCAACAGCAATTTATTTAACAAGCTTCGACATTATCTAAGGGGTGTTGATGCAATCAAATCATAAAGATACACATACTAATATTACACGTTACATTTCAAGGATTAGTTGTATGACCAAGATAAATAAACCACTGAATCTTTTACAAATTAATTTATAGGAGCCACGGCAACAATACATATAAACTAGCTAGTAAGTAGGGAATGTGGGATCAACATCTTTTGCCCATGACTCTAAACCTCCGACAATATCCTTAGCTGAAGCAAAACCATTCTCACTGAGAAACTTGACAGCTCTTTGAGAATCATTCCCCCTCCTGCACACTACATACAAGCTTGCAGGTCTGCTCGATGCTTGTCTGGCTTCCCTTAAAACTAAATCTAATGTTGACATCTTCTGCTCAAGCATGGACAGCGGAATATTAATAGATTCCGGAATAGCTGAGATCTTGAAGTGGTGGGCAGGACGAACATCCACTAAAATATGTGGCTCGCCTTTATCGACTATGTTCTTGTACTCGTGACTGCTGATTCTGGCACTTTCTGGTAGCAGGCTCAGCTTTGGACGGGACTGCATGTTGAATCAACAATCTTCGTTGGTGAACCAAATAAGACAAACATTTTGCAATCCAGATTAAAGAGAATGCAAATAATATAAGGTTGATTGCAGATAGACCCCCTGTAGTATCAGTGTTTCAAACTTATTACTCCTCTAGTTTTATCTTTTGCAGATAGATCTCCTGTGTGAATTTTTCTTGACTCTTCCCTTCCAAGAGAGCAAAGTTACTTTTTGGGACAAATTTTCAAAACCAACCTATTTGGAAATTTAATCCCAGAAAACAACCCCTTTCAAACTTAATTGCAAAAACCGACCTGGTTTCAGCCTTGGGACTGAAACCAGGTCGGTTTTTGTGGAAAAACTTCGGAAACTTCACGGGAGTTGAACTCCCGTGAAGTTTAGTAAAACTGCTATACTTCACGGGAGTTGAACTCCCGTGAAGTTTTGCAGTTCAAAAAAAAAAATTTTGAACTACGAAACTTCACGGGAGTTCAACTCCCGTGAAGTTTAGCAGTTTTACTAAACTTCACGGGAGTTCAACTCCCGTGAAGTTTCGGATAAAAATTTTCAAAAACCGACCTGATTTCAGCTCCAGGGCTGAAACCAGGTCGGTTTTTGAAAATTTTTGCAAAAGCGGTCGTTTTTTGAAAATAAATAGTGAAAGGGGTTGGTTTTGAAAATTTGTCCTTACTTTTTGACAAACAGACCTCTTGAGGGTAAAAGAGTATTAAAAAAATTCACTCATGGGTTTTATCTGCAATATAAAACTAGAAGCATACTAAGTTCAAAGGAAGGATACTACAGGGGGTGCATCCGTAATTAAGCCAATAATATATATAATATATATGACGTGTCTTTAGAAGAGAAAAGAATGTAATAAACACCACAACCTCATCAGTGTCAGTCAACATACAGAATTGATAGCCTATGATTGATGCTGCTGTTTCAATGTTAGCTTCAGAAAACCAAATCAAGATTCAAGAACTACCGTTACATTATCAGAGAAAACTGGCTAATGACGAACATGGTTCATTCATACCAATCAGGTTTTAGTAACTGCAATAAGAGTCGACAATCTTAAGTCACTTGTAAGTAACAATTGTAAGAACTAGAAGGCATAGAGATATTTTTTATTCTTATTGTACATTCTGGTTGTGAGCCCAGTAAACACAAAAACCAAAATGGTTTGCATCAAATTACAGACGACCATACTTCATTCATTTTTCAAGTAAAATATAGACAATCGTAATGGTGAATGTAGATGTAGGCACAGAAAATCTATTCATGTTTTCAGTACAGAAGATTTAGACATAACATGAAATTGAAATGAGAAGCAAGTAACAGGGACAATTCAAACATAATGTCAAATCCTCAGAGAGAAACTAGATTATTCAATGTTGTGGGTTCACAATGTGGGTTACAAGATAGAGACAGTACATTGGTAGTCACATGAAAGTTTAGAACAATTGATACGAATTAGCCTCCAGTTCTGTCAGAACTATTACTGAGAAGACAACACCAGTATGGAACTTCTAGTAATATCCTGGAAACCAAACATAAGTATAGTTGATTTTGTTGAGAGGTGGGAAACTTCAATCATGTCTGCTTAAGGCTGATTCAGAATTTCATGCAGGGTATCAACACAACTGATGCTTATCAACAGGTCACTTGCAACATGCCGTGGTCAAATTTACCAATTGAAAAGCAAAAAATGGTCCAGAAATATTGATGCAATTTTGTTGTAAGTTTCCAGAACAAACGAATCCAATCTTCAATAACACATTTCACCCAGGTGAGAAATCAGGCTTATTATTATCCGCACGCATAATTGAGTTAAGCAGGCGTTTTAAAATCATAACAGTGTTTAAACCTGTTTCAAGAAACCCAATCCAGTATTGTCAAGATCAAAAAGAGCCCCAACCCTATTTGCCCATATAACTCCTGATCCTCTGTTCCCGCCATCCGCCCCCTTGTCCCATTCTCCGCTCACAATCCTCACTCGCTCATGGCCGAGTAATTTTCAAATAACAGAGAAAATAAACCTAAAGAAGAATCTATCATTGGATACATGGATATTTTTTTCCTCTTTAGAGAGGAACACGGATGAAATTGACCACAGCAAAGATGTTACAGAGGAAAATATCAAATAACTTTAGTGTACATAGCGACAGTAGCAATTGACTTCCGTAAAAAAACAATCTATGAGTTTAAGATGATCTTAACCTAGCCTATATTTTGGTGCAAAGATGCAATCATTCCACAACCTCAATCAAGACCTTAGAAAATGATACAATTTCTTATAGTGACGTGAAAGGACTGCACAAACACAATTAGCTAAGTACGCAATATATGTAGTTCACGTAACGAAACTGAGCATTATGAATGAATAAAAACCATACACTTAACAAAGCCTTCGACATTGAAGCCTTCAACGTGGTGAGGAAGACTTATTGACGGCAAACAAGAGCTCAAGAACAAGCCTAGGTGGTGGATGTCAGCTTCAGGTTTCTCTAGTTAACAGCAAGGGAAGGTCTTCGTCAGTGATACGGGAAGAGGATAAACAAGACGTTCTGTGGCCGAAGACTTTCTCGGATCGTGTGTGAGAGAGGACCAGGAGGGATAAATGATCATCGACATAAAACGGGAGAAATGGAGAGGCCTGAAGGAGAAAGGATCGTGATTTATTTTTTATTTTATTTATTTATTTGTTTATTTTGGGAAGGGGGAGGGATAGGGTTAGAGATCTTTTCAATCTTAACAATACAGGTCAGTATTTTGGAGATGGGTATCACCCTTCTTTACTATGTGTGAATAAATCTCATTCGCCGGATTATGTGGGATAACTGCATAATTAAGCGATATTTCCCAAATTGTGGTGTTTTAGGGCTGAGGACGAACACTTAGCCAAGCAATCAATCAAGAAAACATATTTTTGAACATTGGTACCAACGCTGCAAATATTTGGTCTTGTTCCAAAAGCCAACAATAGTGCGCTTCAAGAATATGTAGGAGGACATGGGCCAAACATCAAAGCTACAACAAGCAACCACTTTGTGACATCTAGACACTTGATCAACATGAGTAAGAGTGAGTTTCTATCAATGAATGATAAAGATCTTCAAGTGACCATGGCCAAACATCAAAACACTTGAAAAGGAAGATCAGTGACCATGACCAAACATCAAGATGGATGAGATGGCTAAACATCAAAGCTATTATGAGCAACCACTTAGTGGCATCAAGATGGATGAGAACAGAATTGAGTTAAGACAAATTCTTGATTGTTGGTTAGAACAGCAGCTCATCACTTTGTCATCGAGTAGGTTGTGATCTACAGAGGAGTAATCAAGCTAATTTCTTCAAAAAATCTTCAAACAATTGACCAACATGACTAAAGAGGGAGTTTCATCAATGATTATAAGGATCTTCAAGTTGAAGAAGAGGTAGATCAGTTGCCATGTGTACATATTGGAGTCTTCCTCTAGTTTAGATGATTACATAGATCTTCCTTAACCTTGAACCAGGACAACTGAGCTGCTACAACAACTTGAAGAGATGTGCATATATGAGGATCCCTATTTCTTTCTGTACATCCTTGATTCACAATTGTCTATAGTTTACAAACATATCAATTAGTGAGGAGCTTCAATTTATTGAAAATGTGATTCACACCTATACTACAAGTCAAATTGACTACGACCTGCATCACCACCTAATAAAAAGAACACAGAACAAATTGAGCTTCTAAATTATCTAAGTAGTGTTACAAAAGGAATTGGCCCTATGGGGCATCAGAACTAATGCCTAATGCCATATTGCCTAGGAGCTGTATACGCACAGGAAGAACAAGAAACAACGGGGTTGAAGTCATTTTGCTAAAGGAGACATTACAACAATCTAATGTCACAAAGATACATAAGATAAAATACTACAGACCAAAACAACAAATGCTTCATGTTCAAATTCTTATGTTCCATTTGGATACAAGTACTCACGTTGTAACTTGTAATAAGTCAAAAAACAAGTAGATAAAGGATTTTTTTGCTAATAGCGGGATTTAGTATATCATGATTATTGAAATCATTTTCAGACTCAGCAACAATAGCACCTACTTAGAATCTTAGATAATCAACAAGGATATGTTAGTACTAAGTTTCATGACATCATAAGATACAAAAAACATGAGAAAATATATTCAGAGTTTCAGATGAGAAAAAAGTTGACAGAGAAAAATAGGTAAAAGGAAATTTATCAAAAAATGGGAGGAACAAATTACCGTGTCCGAGATTGGGGACTGTGTGAAGCTCTCATAATCAAATCTTCTGAAATTTTCTTGTGTGAAGGTAGCATTTTCTCCACAAGCTATACACTGCAATGACCTTCCCCTTATCTTTACCTGTCAAGATTTAGAATATGTTAGGCCAAATATTGCATATATACCAACTATGCATTTGCAACAATCCTCATAATGACACGGGAAACAAAACAATAAACAAATGAAACATTTTGATCAAAATCTGCTTTAAACTTTGAACCAATATGATCGATCTCTAAGCAGTTTTGAATTTTAAAGTAGAACATGAAAGTCAAGTTAGGGGGTGGTGTAATTCCAAACAATCCTCATATGTTGACAAAACATTTGGGGAATCATCATCGCATGAATAACTCTATTATGTAACTGCTTTGAATTTTAAAGTATAACATGAACATCAAGATCTGGGTGGTGTAATTCCAAAATATCCTCAAAAGTTGACAGAACATTTGGGGAATTATCACATGAATAACTCTATTAAGTAACTTAAGAAGTGATTATAAAAGTTTTGTGCTTCAAAATCTTCAAAATTACCAAAATGATCAGCTTTTGATGCATTTAGGCAGTTGAAAAGAGAATAATATTATCACACGTAATTAGAAGCATGCAATTAATTGAGGAAAAACTCCATGAAGACAAATGTCCTTACAAAAGCAATCCCAAGAATTCAGATGAAACTGCCAGGGGTATCCTTTTTATTGTTTCCAATAACTAAACTATCATAATTTTTCCTTTTTACAAATGGACATAAACAAGGGAAAAAAGAAGACTGCCAACGTAAATTTTTTTAAAGAGTTAAAAGCAATCGACTATATCCCAAAAAATTGGCAAACTAAGTTGCATGGATGCAGGTACATGTAGGGATCGGGGTACGGGTATGAGACACAGGAAATTTATAGAAGATAGGGTTCAGGGACACGGCTATATACGTATATCGAAGCTAATAATGTACATAAGATCTTTTTCATCACATGTTATGATATTATCTTATTAACATTTATATGTTTCCTTTATTATGTAGATTGTCAATTAGAAAAAAGCTCGACTTTGGACTAGATACTCAAAACGATCTTTAATACCATAGTTCTGAACTAGGTGTCGACTGAAACAAACATGACCTACGTCCAATGAGTTTCAAGAAGTGGATGTGTAGCATAGACGTATAAGAAGTATATGAGAAGTGTTTTAAATTGAACATGTATTATAAAATTGAGTACATATCCGGATAAATGTATGTGTGTACTCAAGGAGTGTCAGTGGCCAATACAGGCAAGACATATGATAGAAGTGTCCAATGAACGTTCAGTATGTATCGAGTACGGCTTCATGATAGAAGTACCCAGATAACATAGTCAACACGTTATATACAATTAATGCAAAGTACTATTTTTAACCATTAAGTGAAATGTGATTTTCAGTTACAGTTCCACCATAGGATAAATATAATAAAGCTAAACTCAAGTAATGGGGATAAAAGTCTTTATTGAAGACTTATGATTTCTTTGCAAGATTTAATATCAATGAAGTTTTAATATTCACTAAAAAAGTTCTAAACAAGATCAAGTCCAAAGAAAAATTGGTGAAACATAGATTTCACGCATTAAATAATTTACAAATGAAGAGAAAAGGTCAAATGTCGTACAATCCGTATACGAGAAGACAATGCATCAAAAAGAAGCATTCTTCCAGACAGAGGTTCACCAACAGCACCAGCTACCTTTATCGCCTCTAGGGCTTGCAGACAACCAATCACACCAGGAACTACTCACCCAACAAAAAAAGCTAGATTAGGTGTTTAGAAAGAGAACAAAATCAGAAGCAAGTGGTAAATAATAATAACAATAATAAATCACCACATGGAGTTTACAACAATAATATAAAAATAGTAACGAAAAAATATATACGTGAGCATGTGCAGAGATATCTTAGTGTCAGCACAACCATACATCTAACTATTCCATGGCATATGGACATATATACCAGTACAAATTTATAAATGAGATAAATGATAAATACTTTAAGATATCAATATTTCAAATTTCATATCATTGTCCAAAATGAATTGACAATCTGAAAGAACGACATACAGGCGCACACACACACTTCCTCATACGCACGCACCCAACCACACACACAGACAAACAACAAGAAGAAGGCCTTTATCCCAAGTTTTTCAAATTGCCTCCATGGTTCCTATTTCCATTAGTTCTATTAAGGCAAATCTCCTCCACGAAATAAATCAACGTTATATATTTCTTAATTGCTTTCAACCAAGTTCTCTTACATCTACTTCTACTCATTGTTCCATTAATTATTATAAGATAATTCTCCTAATTGATGCATTTAGTGGCCTCCATTACACATGGACAAATCATCCCAATTAGTTATCTCATTGTATCTCAATCGGAATAAGCTTTAACCTGTGAATACATACATTTCTTATCCGATCTTTTAGTGTATATCTACACATCCATCATAACATTCTCATTTATATTACTAGTTTTTTGCACATTTTGTTTCTCAATTGCCCAAGCATTCAGATCCATAAAATATTGTTCGTCTTATGCCCGTCTTACAAAAATTTTCATTTAAATTTATAAGTAGTCAACGATCACATAGGATTCCCGATGCCAAGAATACTCCTCCATTTTAATGATCTTGGTTTGACTCGATAAACCATATCTCCTCAATCTCATCATTTTGGTGAATATCTAAATAGAGAGTAATTACTCAGGTACATTTTACCATCAATATACATTATAACTAAATCCTTTAGATTAAAGAATTTCCCCTCATCTTTTGTAATACCAAATTTTTGAAATGTGGCTAAGATAATACCAAATCCCACATTTAACAAACAACCCCCCCCCCCCCCCCATCCTAGAAAATCTCTAACTATATAACAACCTTATTTCTTTAAAATCCTTATCCATCTCCTCTACCTTTTTCTTCACATTAACTCCCAAAAAAAAATAAACGGAGAGAAAAATAGAGAACGGAGAAAAAAATTTAAGAGGAGAATTGGATACTCAATGAGAATGAACGGATAGGGATTTCAATTTCAGAGTTCAATTATTATTTTGGCAAGCATTTTCTTATCCTTTAACTCTTTTATTTTCATGATCTCCTTATCTAAATACTCGTATTTCTTCGTAGAAAATCATGAGGAATAGATTGTAGTTAGTTTTTATATATTTTTTATTACGATGCTGTAGGAAAAATCTTGACACCTTATGCAAGTATTTCATAACCTAAACTCTTTTATTTTTATAATTACCTTATCCAATTGCTAGTATTCTCCTCCTAGAGTTATGACAATTAATTTGTAAATAGTTTTTATTAGATTATTTTTTTCGAAATTGGTTTATTTCGATCATTATAGTTTTGTTAAAAAAGTAAATTTTAAAGAATTTTTACCTTTTTTCAATATTATAGTTATAACAGAGGATAGTTTTAATTGTTTACTACAGTCAGTCAGTCACAAAGTAGTGGTTGGAGTAGTGGTTAGGTGACTTAGTTATTAGCTCTTAGGTCTTAGGTTCGAATCCTTTGCCCTTCATTTTTTTTTCAAAAGCTATTTAGGCCTGCTGTGAACTCAAACCCGACCCAGTTAGGATCCAATATTAAATTTTAGACCTGTTTAGATTTATAATTCAAATTACAAACCTGTTTGACCCGGTCAAGATCCAATATCAAATTTCAGACCCGTTTGGGTTTATAATTCAAATTTCAGACTCGTTTGATCTAGTTAGGATCCAATATCAAATTCCAGACTCGTTTGGAGTTATGACTCAAATTTCAAATCCGTTTGGACCTTTTGCTCACTAAAAAAATCAGGCTTGTCAATCTTTAAGCCATTAAAACCAAACCGGTTGACTTTTTCTGACACTAAATAATTATGTTAATTATTTATCTTTGCCTTTTTGATAAGTAAAGATATGTCATTTGATGATGAATACCTGATGTCATGTTTGATTACCTAGTGACATTTAATAGGATGGATAGTGCATAAAAACGACTTCCGTTAAAAATATGATTCATAAGTATGCTATCATAGCATGGCTATACCCTCGACATCGATATCCCGGTGTGAGGAGTTTCGCTTGATTATTACTATTATATAATAGCATCAATTAGACGATGCATCTATCTTGATTGGGCATGTTCTGGTCACGGTTAGTTTTCATAGTTTTACGGAAGTCGTTCCACGAAAACTCTGTGATTAGTGAATAATATTTCATACACAACCACTTAAAATCAAGGTTTTATAAAGGGGAATTGGACAGAGAATATAATGCGTATATAAGCGGGCTCATGCGCATTCTTGATATCTTGAATTATATATAAAGGCCAAGGATCAATACTTGACTTGAAGCCGTGTTCCCGGGATGGTTTACGGGAACCCAATTTATATACATGATACTATTTTCCTCTAATTCAAATAACATGTAAAATAATAATAATGTGCTTGTATGCTTTGTGATAGACTTATTCTTAATATCTACAAGTAGTATCTCTTTTAGTTACCGTTAATTTAGATTTTATCTTTTCTTTATACCTGCCACATACACTTACACGCACATAATTTCTTCATTTTACATGTTTGTTGAGAGTTTTCTGACTCCCCTAGAGTTTGCACGGAGTTTGCACGCTCCAGACTCGGGGACCATCCTTTCTTTGCAGGACCGAGAGTATTTCAAGTAGCAGGCTTAGCGACAGTGATCATCGTTTATCCTATCAGTTCTCCAGTTTTTTTGTCTTAGGTAGTTATTTGACTGAGACTTTTCCTGTAACCGCATGTGGTTCTCCAGATTATGATGTATTTTTTCTCTTTCCTACTTTGGATAGTTGTGGACTTGTAGTAGAACTCTGTCTTTTCAGAGATTTTTTTTATCTATCTATTTTCTTTGTTATCTTAGTTACATGCTCTATGTTGTAGTATTTTTAGCAATATATCTGTATACAGGATGATCTAGAGGTGTGAATGGGACCATATGATTGCATTGCCGGTCGAGTCACGTTCCAAACTATTATATTTTGGAACCGGCGCGTGACAAAGTTTTTATTGGTATCAGAGCCCAACTAGATAATTGTTGCCTCATTCTGTATATAAAAAAACTAAGATCATGTCAAGAACAGAGCATGTATAGAACAGGTTCTTTCCTATCCAGAAGTACACCATTTGACTCGTAGTACCTTGATTCTCAAGTCCTAATTTCGATCAATCTCATTTCAGATGATCACTATGACCCCAAAACGTCGTCCCCCTACTCCAGTTGGGCCTAAGAGACAGCATGTCAGTCGATCAAGCTGATCTTGCAGAAGCAATTAGGGAGTTGGTAGCTCGTAATCATCAGAGGGATGGACAACAACAGGATGCAAGGCGGGGTAATATGTTCGATTTTCAGAAGCTCAACCAGCAACACTTTGCTGGGATTGAAGGAGGGTATGAGGCCGAGATGTGGCTGCAGACGATGGGCCGCTTGTTGAGAGCATCTAAAATCCAAGACGAAAATAGAGTCGATATAGTATAGCTGCAGCTCTCAAATGTAGCTAGAACCCGGTGGGATGCAGAAGAGGAGAAGCTTCTTAAGCCGATTTCATGGGAGACGTTCCGAGAGAGCTTCCTAGCGACATTTTCCCCTAAGACAGCTTGCCTTGAGATGCATAGGCAGTTTGTTATGCTGAGACAGAGAGCTAGTACTGTAGATTAGTATGCAGCAGAATTTGCTAAGCTCAGCAGGTTTGCCCCAGGCATGTGTCTAATGAGATAGATAAGGTACAAAGATTCATGTAGGATCTTAGTTTTGAGATTCGGATGCAGATTTACAATCAGAAGGGAGTTGAGACGTATGCTGATGTTTTGGAGGCAGCTCGTAAAGCTGAACAATTGATTGGATCATGAATTCAATGAAGAGAGGGGCCAACAAGCGTCCTACAGGACAAACATCAGGGGGTAATCAACACAAGCCTTAGACAGGAGGAGCACCAACCAAGCGCTAGCAGACAGGGACCCGGAGACTAGCTTCACAACCAACCAACATGATTTGCCATTTTTGCAGCAAGCCGGGACACTTGATGGACTGTATGAGAGCTAACGGGTTGTGCCTAGCATGCGAGGCGGCGGATCATCAACTTACTACTTGCCCTAGTAGAGGAGTTTCAGGAGGAGCTTCAGGTGGAGCGATAGTACCAGCAGGCCAGGCTAGACAGGATGGATAATAGTGGCGATCATCACTTTCTACTCAGCAGCAGATGTTTCGAGGACATCAAAGGGACAATAATTTCGAAGCCAGAGATAGCGGAGAGGTCCCCAGTTTCAGCATCCGTACCAGCTGCAGTATCAGCAAAGGCGTCCATGGCAGTATACTCAGCAGGATCAGCAACAGCAGAGACATGATCAGGTTTTGACACTTACTGCTGAGCAGGCAGATGCATCAGGTGATGTGATCACAGGTAGCATTCTGGTTTCTCAGTCCCTGCCTTCACCCTATTTAATTCTGGTGCATCACATTGTTTTCATATCTGCTCAGTTCATATCACGACACACCATACCATGTGATAGTTTAGATGCAGCCTAGAATATCCATATAGGTAGCGAAGTGTTAATGTCTAGTAGAGAGTGTAAGAGATGCTCAATAGTAGTTTGCAGACTTGTTAGTGATTGTCACTAACGGGTTCGATGTTATTTTGGGGATGGATTGGCTCTTAAACTTCCATACGATTATCGACTGCCGACGCAAAAGCATGGCGTTCAAGGT